GCTTTCAATTTAAATATAGACGAAATTGTCATTTTACATATAAAAATTTGTAATTTTCATTAGAAATAGAAAAAGGGTATTTTTCAAATGAAAACTAAAAAATAAGGTAGTTTTCAAAATCACCCTTTTATTTTCCACAATATAATTCCAAATTAATCACCACTAATTACCATTAATTGGAGAGGGACACATGTCAGATGCATAGGATGCCAAATGGCATGATAATAGAGCTTCTTCAAAAAAACCTTGTCATATTATATAAGATATAAATATTAACCCCAAAAGTTTTGGTGTAATTTGAGAAGATAACACCAAAAATTTTGGATACAATAAAACTGTTAGAAATGAATTCGAATAAGAATGCAAATTCAAGAAAAAACAAACAACACAAAGTCATATTTACTATATTTATATTTAAATATATATTTGATAAGGTTTATATAGTTATTAGTTTATGATATTGATCCTGAGACCACATATTTACATAGATTTTTTTTTAAAAAATATCATTATCGTATCATCTGCTAAATATTACATTGGTCCAACTCGAGACCAAATTTTTTTATTAATATATATGATTATTAATTTATCTAGTATCAATTCATAATAAAACCAAGAAAGTATTGTAATTATTAGTTATATTTTTGCAAAAGGATGTGTTCTAGGCTTCTAGCCCATGGACTATTAAATTAACTACAAAATACCATTAAAAAATTAAAATTAAGAACTGACTCTTTGTACTTTATTAGGGTGTTACTTAAAGCTACCAATGAGAAAATGGTTTCTAAACACAACAATTGTATAAAATTTTCCAAATAATATTACACTACATTACAAAGCACTCAATTACCATCTTATTGTGATGTGTTTAACAAATATGAATTATTTTAATATTACTACTATATATAGATCTCTAAGAATTCAAAGTTTCCAAGAATTTCACATATAATAATTGATCTAGTGAACTCGACTTCCATTCTATTTAATTTAGCTCTACTATTGCATTCCCTGTAGATATTATGGATTTTAAAAAAAAAAACTTAAAGAGCGAAAACAATTTACGTGAATGGAGAAAATAACATATCGTTAAGTTCCTAACATATAAAAGATTGAAAAAATAAATGAGAAATATCAAATATATATCTATTCCTTTTAACCTGTCATTACTCACGACACATTTTTTATCATTGGATATTAACAATTTGACTCTAACCACTAGGAAATAGATAAATTGGAAAATTAAATGCATGATTTAATAAATTTGGAAGATGATTGGTGTAAGGAGAAACATATTTAGTTATAATAAATAATACTTACTGGCATAGGACAATACAATGACCTTCGAAAAAATATACTGGATTCAAAAATTTATTATATATATTTTACTACAAATGATTAGTTGTACATATGTGTGGACATATTCACTAATACATGTGTACGAATGGAAATAAATCAACCCATTTAGGTACAATATCTCAGATTCAAATTTATATAAGCAATCAAAACTATAAATAGAATCAAATAAAAACATTTCGTAAAGACAAAAACAGATTGAATAAATTAGAAAAATTAAAAACAAAATAAAATGCATTAACCTTCATTTTTACTTAATATCATATTGTAAATACTAGCTTTTCAGCTTGAAATATATGACCACCTACTGATCTCACCATCAAAATTTCCCATGTTTCTTTTGATGATGTAGCATAAGCTATCCATGAAAAAACCTCAATGCTTAATCCACTTTGGATAAGGGAAAGCGCGTTCACATCTTTCCATTCCATCCATTGTTTCCACAAGACTGAATAGTTTTCAGCGGCCACAGCGGATGATGATGCATCATAACTTACTCTTTCGTATACATAAGACGGTGAATGTACATGCAACATTCTTTTTGAGTACATGTCTCCACAACATCCCATAGACCATAAATTTTGAACAGTGTTTTTATTTGGAGACTCCAATTCTCATAATTATTTCCATCAAACACATGAAAAAAAACCATCGAACCATAATAACACTTGAACGTAGTCCAACAAGAACAATGAGTCAATGATCTCGCACAAGGTTTGAACTAGTATCACGTGAATCAAAATTAACTAGAAAGATTATGTCTTATAATATAAGAGGTTACCATTGTATATACTAGGAAGTCGACCCGTGCGTTACCGCACAGTAAATTAAAATTTAAATGAATTAACATTGCTAATTTATTCTATATTCTAATTTTTTATTGTCTAAGAAAATAAATATAAAAACTTAGTATTGCAAAAATTAAAAAAACCGACGATGTAACAAAATTCAACGTAACAACATAAATAAAGCATGATCATGCATATTGCAATAATTATTGCAAAAACTAAGTTAAGTTTTAGAATTAATTAGTTTTTTAACACCAAAAATAGCAAAAAAAAATTAACGAACTTCTTTTTGTTTCCACCAATATTGACAGACTTAGTTATAAATTTAGGTTGGAATTATTTTCACTCTTTTTCTTTTTATCTTAAAAAAGATAATATAATATTAACTGATCCGATTGAATTGGGAATAGATCTTGGTTTACAAAGATATATTATCAGTTTTAAAATACCAGATAAATCATGAATATTAAAAAAAAAGCAAATCTATCAAAGGAAATTAGCGACGAGACTCCCAACTACCGGACTCAAAGTCAAGGTGAAGGGATTGAAGAATAAAACTAAGTCGTTTAGCTTAAGCTTTGTTTGTTTCAGTTTAAATAAGTCCTCCTAAGTTGTAGGAGTCAATGCACGTTTGATTAAGAGTCTCTTTTGTTATCAGATCCGCTTGAAGAGGTCATCTAGTTGAGTCTTGTAAAAGTCTTTATAAGACTCCCTTTCTCATGAATAAATCACAGGGAACTATTCAGCTTTTCCTTGGTTCCTCTGTTTTGTTTCAACGATTAGCAAATAACAGGAACATGATATTGAAAGGACAATTCAAAGTTTCTATAATACACATGTATTAAGGTATACATTATTCACAAAAGACAAGTCTTGATAATACACATCAACCAAAACCATATCTTCTTCTTCTCCACAAAACCAAAACACATCCATATCTATCTTTTCTCCACAAAATCAAAACACAAAAACCATAACACACAAATTTGATCAAAACACATAATAACCAAAATACTTAACCAAAACACACAATTTTTTAAACCAAAACACTTAAAGTTTTTAATAACCAAAACATTTCAAATTTTTAAGAACCAAATCACTTCAAAGCATTTTTTTTTTAAGAACCCCAACTTAAGATACTACTATTGGACAATGCCAAAAATTTCAACTCTTACCCAAACTCTTAAGTTTTAAATTTTCAAAATTAACAATTAAAATATTCTAAGAGCCAATATTAAGATACTACCAATAATGTTGCTCTAAACAACCATCCGTTATAATGAGGTATCCCTTAACAGTACGTGGTGCGAAGACGGGTAGGAAAGCCATCAATCGACAAGCAGCACAGCACAACCCGTCTGACCAGACGGCAATTCTCGCCACAAATCTAAGCTTTGGGAATTCAGCGTCGCCTCAATCGTAAGTTCGTTTCCATCCCCTGTCTGCAGACCCCGAGCAGCCAAATCTGAAGCAAAACCACGAGTTTCAATCGTTGGGCCCCTCCAGCCCTGGATGCTGACAAAAATGTGACAACGTTGATGGAAAACTTGTTTTTCATATAATGGTGAATGAAATATACTAAGTCTAATAATCACAAACTACCGCAAAATTTCATCAAAATAATGCTTTTTGGGATAAACGCACCTATCTACCATCCCATTAATTTCCAAACTAAAAAATTCAAAATTGATGACTGATGAGGTGCGTTAACTGTAACTGAAAGCACTATGACAAGTGTAAATAATTAGCGCTATAGTTAAGGAGTAGATCATAACGTCGTCGCTTCATGCCATTATTTGTCTTTCTGGTCCATATATATTTTAATTAATTACAAGTATAGTAGTCAGAATCTGCACATATGATAAGTTCTTGCTTCGAAGATTTATGCATTTCGACCTGAATTGTTGATAATATATCTCAATGTTATACTCCACATTATTTCACAAGCAATTACATATCAACAATCAAGTATATATACTAAACTTCTTTATATCAAAATTACTTGTAATGGTATTTTTATCTCCGTCATAACTATAACTTTTTTTTTTTTAACGAAGGAAACACTTGAGGAATCAAGAAGAAAAAGATACCGACATTGATGATGCTGGAAAAATGTATTGTTGTTACTGACAAAGCCGATCTTCTTCTCTGAAAATGTCAACAAAACAGACTTGAAATATATAAACAAAAAAAGTTGAAAATAGATAACAACCAAAGCCCTATTTATTATCTATTCCACTTCCAATTATTACTTGTTGAGAATTTTCGGAATGACTGTTGTTATCGTTTACATCAATTATTACATCAATTTGTTTGGTAAACGATAACAACAGTCATTCCGAAAATTCTCAACAAGTAATAATTGGAAGTGGAATAGATAATTAATAGGGCTTTGGTTGTTATTGAACTCGTTTGAGAGACCTGAAAACCAAAACCAATCAATCAAATCATAACTAAATGATCATAAACATGACAGCGCCTCCAAAGAAAAGTGATATTCCGATGAGAGCAAAAAATATTGGAGAGGATAACGAAAACAGCAGTTGTTAGTAATCTATATGAAAATCGTAGAGATGTGAGAAGTAAACAACGCAAAGGTTGGTGGCCAAGGGGTGGGAGAATAGAAGAAACGCAAACGTTGAGAAATAGATCATAACCGTAGGATGGATTGCGTGTATAATCTGAACCATTGAAGTTTTTTTTTTCTTTTTTTACACACTAATGACGTCAGCAGACCCAAAAAAATGGGTTTGCTATTATATATAGATTGATTTTCAAACATAGATTTAAATTTTAAAAACAAAACCAAACCAAAACTAGGACAAATCTCCAAACTAAGCAAATTAGTTTTCAATTCTTAATTATCAATTATTTTTCTTACCAAGCCAAATAGGAAAAGCATAAACTTAAACAACTGAACAACTAATCCAAATAAAACATACGCACCCTCAATATGAAATAAAGCAAAGTTGAAAAGATCATTCAATGAATTCTTTTTCACTAGAAAATGCTTGAATCAAGCATTGTGTAGAGTAATTCGTAAATGCCCCGAAGCGCTCTTGAAATTCTGCTGAAACTCCTCAACCACAGCTAGTACCCACCTCTTTTGATTATGGTTCAATCCATTTGCCTCGTAAAGATCAACTCGTTCCATCACACACCCGGTACGAATCAAGTATTGAAGCATATGTAACTCGTTCGAGCTTCCACGGAATTTCTTTACCTTCACAACCTTTAGCGTTTTTTCCAAACACTCGTAAGCTTTGCTAGTGAGCCAATAACTTACTGGATCTATCACTAAAGGCGATGGAGCTCTCTGCAAAATTCAATTAAAGTTAAGCGTTTTCCCAAATAGCATGACCTAGATAGATGTATATTGTAATAATGTTTATTGACTTCATCAACGTTAAAAACGTTACAGATTAAAAAAAAATCAATAACTTACCACGAAACGACTAGTAGTAACCAAATCAAATGTGAGAGATTCGAGTTCCGGACAACTATTGAGAAAGATACCAATGCCCACAAAGTCATTTGCATGCATATTTGTTTTCATCACCAAATGTCGAGTTTTCATCGAATCGTGCAAAGCCATAGGATCGTCACAATCTTGGAGGACCTTCTTCCAATAAATAAAAAGATGTTAATATGACACATTGAAAAAAAAAAAAACATGTTTGCATATATACACAAAATTTAACGGTACAATAAAATGAAATACTACTAAAGAAAATACTCTTCAAAAATCAAAGAAAAATTATAATGAATGGTATAGTGAACTTGATTTACATTACATGAGACAAGGTGTGAAATTTGAATGTAGGTAATGAATTTTAGATAGCTAAAAGAGTGAAAACTAATTTACCTGAAGGAAAAAGGAGCAGACCGTTAAAGTTCTAACATATAAAAGATTGAAAAAGAGATGAGAAACATCTAAATCGTTCTTTTGAAGATATCTGCATCTTAGTAGACAATCTCTTATAGTCTGTTGGGCTTGACTTAAGTTTCTTTGGATAGGATCTGAGAAATCAAGAACTAAGTTCTTGACTTGTCGGGAGGTGGCGAATTCAGTGAGAGACATTATATCTCCTGCGAAACCCATCGGCTGGGAGAGATGAATCTCAAAATTTTCAATAACTTTACCAGTAAATCTTGAGACCCACTCACGCATAACACGTACAAAGAAAACCCTATCGGGATCTACCATTTCTCTATCAAAAACAGATAAATTCACGAAATCAGATTCATTGAAAACGAGGCTTGTCGTTTCACGACAAAGATACCTCCAACGCCTAGAAAGAACACTTGTTCGTACCAAATCTTTGAAAGGTAACATTGATATTATAAACACTAAAAGAGAATCATGTAAATTTGAAAAGAAATCTGATTTTTTTGCTGAATCCATTATGAAAATGTGGTGATATTCAAAACACGAGATATAGAGAGAAGATGGTGTTTATGAAAAAAAAAAACAGTGGCTTAAAAGCTTTAGAGATTCATCTATTTATATGCTTTTGAGAGTCTGGCTTTTTTTCTTTGATGTTAGTTTCACTCATTAAACCGCTTTGACATCTGTTTAGCTTTTCTTATTAACTATTTATCTTTCAGTTTTGAAAAAAAATTATCATAGATTCAGAGTTGTGGTTTAAGAATGCTTAGCATTAGTTTTGTTTAGAAGAAATATTGAAAATACTATTTATACGAAAATCAAATGAATTTCTACGTAATACGCGCGCTATTTCAAACTTTTGGCCAATACTGATATACGCGCGCTTTTTCAAATTATCTTTTAATTTGAAATATGTTATCAGTTAGTTGAACTTGAATATGGTTTTCTATATAGTAAAAAATCTATCTAAAATTATGATTTAAAAAGAAAAAGTAAATGACTTTTTTTTGTGTGTAAATGTTTTTTAAAAATTGATTAATATATCTGAGCAAATCCATTTAAAAATGAAACTTTGGTTACTTGAAATTGCATGTGAATAAATATTTCTTCTATATTATAATTAAACTTGTTAAGAAATATTAGACACTCAGAAGGGAGTAATTTATCTATTTATTTTTTGCATATATTTTTCCTTAGAAGATGCTTTTTTTCTTTTCAATTTAACAACTTTTCCTAAAAATGTCAAATTTAATTTCAATATAAAAAACCAAAATAATACCAAACTTTTTAACTAATGGAAAAATATATTCAATCATTTTTTTACATTTATATTTTTTATTTTTAGAATTCTTATTAAATTCCTCTTTGTGTTATTGGGTAAATTAAAAAGTGATTTTAGTATTTTATCACATATGTCAAGATTTAGGAAAAATATATGATGAAGTAAAATTCTTTTAATAGTTTATGATTTATTTCTTAAATTTAACATATTTAAAAAGAAAAAGATTGACATAAGGAGAAACATATATCAAAACACATTTAATTAAATAATACTACAATATACATTATAATCAACATATAGTAAAAAAATTTCTTGGAAATATCTATTTAGAATAAGGAAATTTTATCTATTATTCCAGTTTTGAAAAGATATCTTTCCAAATCTACTACATTTTAGGGGATTGAAAAGATTTCTTTATTAGTTGACAAAAAAAAAAAAGATTTATTTCCAAATCTATCACATTTTAGTGGACTAGAAAGATTTATTTCCAAATCTACAAACTTTTTAGTGGACGTTTCCTAAACTACCACAAATCTATGGCATGATAGTATTTTGTTGACAAAACATTTGCTTTTTTTTAATTGAGTTTAAGGTCTGTACATGAAAAAAACTCCAATCCGTCTCGAAGTCCCACTATTGGGCCAGGCCCACGATATCGACAACAGCTATTAGCCCCAACTTATCATCCATTAAAGATCAATCCAAAAGGTTGCGGCCCAACATTCAGAGTTTTGATGCCCATTGACATGATTATTATCAAAGCCCAGCTACCATATGTGCCGAGAACTGTTAATATTAATTAAGACTCGTCCGATGAGCGGGTTTTAATATTTTTTTTTAAAAACTAAAAATTTTAAAAATATATATTAATTTTTTTATGAATAGAAATTCTATTTAAGAAATAAATAGATAAAGTTTTTATCAGATAGAAAAGTTGTTTATATAAAACTATTTTATATAAGATATATACGTTTAGTTGCCTTATATTTTTTTTTAATTTCTTTTTTTATTTAATAAGATATATCTAGTTTTTTTATACAGTAATTATCTTCTTTAAATTTTAGAATTGTTTTATATAAGATATATACATAACATTTCATTATAATTTTTTTTAATAAATAATTATTTTTGTTTTACAAGTGTTAAAATCTGAGATCGATAGATTTGAGTTCTAATACCATATTAGATAATAGGTATTTAATTCAAAATCAGTTTGCTATAAATGAATTTGTTCATATTCTTGATAGACAATTCAAGAATCTTTCCAATTTAAGATATTATTCCGAATATATATACACATATATAAATAATTGGAAGCACATGGTTCTCATATTGGGGCCAATGTATGATTGATTTTTTCAAACTACCTGAGTTTTGGATTCAATACATCAATTTGATTACATTATTAAGACTTTCTAGCTCATCATATTCCACATTTTCAACACTTTATTGCTCTTTTCATATTTATCTCTTTCATATATTTATATGTTAGTTATGTACGTTTGTTTTCGGATGTAACCAGGAGAAACAAATAGATTATTTGAATTTGTAGTATAGTAGTATGTATTAGTATCGTCAGTGTATGACAATTTAAATTTGGATTATATACTACTAACACATTATAATCCAGTTAGTGGAAATACTTGAAATACTTCCATGTAATTATTACCGATTAGTAAAAAGGTCTACGAGGGGAAAAAAAATTCTAATCGATCATTCCATACTCTTAATTAAAGGTTGTTTAAGTTTTCGTACTATTTTTTTTTTTTTTCATATTACAACTCAACACAAATTAAACACTATACCAACTTTGCGGCAAATCATAGAAAAGAACTGGCATATAATTATTTGGCAAGGAATAAAAATGAATGAGGTCCACAACATTCACGGGAATAAAACCACTCTGTGTCAAAGCTTTGTTCACAATCTCTCTCTCTCACCTTTCTCACTTTTTCTCTCTAAAGCAACCACATCTCTCTCTCTTCCTTCTTAATCTTCCTCTCTCTCTCGGCAAGCCATGAGCTCCTCAATTATGAAAACCCTTCAGATTCGTAAACCCACTTCTCTCCCTATCTCTTCCACCACCATAGATGAGCCAGGGCTTCTCCGTCGTCGTCTCTCTTCTCTTTCTCTAAATCTCTCACGTAACCAACCTTCCACCGTCTCAAGATCCAAGTCGGTCTCTGACATGGGAGAGCAAGGAGGGAGCTCTATGAAAGAATGGTGGGAATGGAGTTGGTCATGGATTCTTTTAAAGAAGTTACCAATCTTTTTCACTGATCTTGAGGTTAACAAGAACGAAACCAAATCATCATTGGGGAATCAACAAAGAGGTAGCTTCGTTCACGTCTTCTTTAAGCTCCGATCTGAGTTCCGCCGTCTCCTCCGTCCTTCCTCTGACTCTCTTCCTCTCTCTTGCAAACACGGACAGAGATGACGTGGCAATCTTCCTCACGAGCTCTCTCTATCTCTCGTTGGAGGTTTACGATTTTGTGTGTGTGGTAATTCTTATAAAATCTCTTATTTGATTCTTAATTAAATTGTATAATATGCTTGAACTTATAATTTGCTACACTTTTTTAGAATTCGTCTTTTAAATTTTTTTTTGTTGTTAAATGTAATGTAAAATGTATAATTATTTCATTTGTTTTAGAAGTTGTGTGTACTTATCGTCTTTATATTAAGTTAAAACCATTCTTTCATTATTAAATAACGAGCCAAATTCTTAGGATGGTGGTGAGAAAAGATCGAAGAACGTTACACAATACAAGTCAAATTAAAAACATTTGAAGATCTCAACTAAAGGTCAAAATATTAGAGCTGAATAGAGTTTTCCAATTTTGATTTTACTTTCTTTTTGACTTTGCGTGATTAGGCAGAAATAGCTTTTGACGTGTTGTTGCGTCTTAAAAAAAGAATAGTATATATATCTCCGAAACGTCGGCAACAATCAAGGTGGCCATTAGCTTTTTTTGGTCGGTGGGGACAGGAATCATCGCCTGGGTGGCACATTGTTAAAAACGGCTATAATTCTATAAATTTGGATTCTTTATCAATCAAGACCATCCTATGGTAATTCAGAAAATAATAATACTTCTAACCAAATATTTATAATTAAAAAAAAATGTGGTTGGGAAGCCTCAGTTAGCCAGCGTTTTTCACATCAAAGTAATTAAACTCAGACGGTAATTCCATATTTTAGCAATAATCATCATCGGTAATCTTCCCAATAATCAAATCGAATTAGTTTCAAAAAAACAAACAATTAATGTAATCGCCGAAATGGCTCCGTAGATCGTATAGAATCAATATCCACAGGTTCCTATCAGTAAGCGAAACACGTACATTTGTCTATGTCCAATGTAGCATCGAGGATCATTGCCCTTAAGCTACCGTCGACGTGGCATCGGACAATTTCATCATAGTTAACATAAATAAAACCCTCAGCGAACCCGTGTCAAATCACCCACACAGCGGACACAGAACGGTGGGAAGTACGGTAGATAACCCGACCGAGCAGCTCGAACCCGATACCGTAAAAAGATCGGGTTAGGATCCGAATATGGTCGGGAAAACTGCTCGGGGGATGGGCAATCACCCGGATGCATCCTCGTTCAGTCCACTGTTGTGTATAGTGTCATACGGCACTTCCTATCTTATGGGAATTCTTCTTCATCAGGAATAAAGTTCGATACAAAACAAACGAGTACTCGTAAATTTGAAGGATATAAAGAATCAAAAACTAAACATATGTGGAAAATCAAGATCAGTAAAGTCAGAGAGGTTTATGAAGATATTAGAAAGAGAAGAGAAGCTGGATTTATTTATATAGATTGTAGGAGGCGGCATAACTCAAAACCCTAATCTCCTACGTGTGGGTACATGTATTGTTTAGTTTTATTTTATTTTTAATCTTTGGCATGTGAGAGGATATGTCTTATTTTCTTGTAACGACTAATTTAAAACAAACAAAAAGATAAAAAGATTTAGTTGTCGTTTTAACAATTAAATTTTGTTTCACAATAGGTCGTTTTAGATTTTTAATGATAGTGTTTGGTAAAAATTTTAATTTTATCTTCACTATTTTAAGGTGTTGACCAATAAAAAAATTAGAAAATATATTAAACTAGGGTAAAGTAGAAAACTTTATTGTTTTCTTAATTCTTTTGCAAAAACTTTAAAAGATAAATATAATTTAACGGAGGGAGTATTAAACTCGCAGAATAATTACGAAAATCCTTAATTAGGGAAACAAAAAAAAACTTGCAGGATAACAAAATGAATTTTGACCAATCTATTTCACCATTTTTCGAAAAACTAATTAAAAGGTGACATAAATAACTCAATGCATGTGGTGTGAAGAGTATATATACGATGCGTAGATATAAATTAGTGGGGAGCACATGGTTTCCCTGTCATGTTCCAATCTACCACATTGGGACCAATGTATGATTGATTGTTTCGAACAACCTTAAGTTTGGTTCCAAGACATCACTTTGATTACGTGATTGAGACCTCTTAGCGATCATCATATTCCACAATCCACATTTTACACCATTTACATACATAAATAAATATACATGTATTATGTGTATAATACTATAATATATATATACTCATGTGTTCCTATACATGTATATGTTTATGTAATTACTCTATTGGAAGATGTAACTAGAGAAAGTAATTAGTGGACATAAACTTGTAACAACAACAAAAAGGTGGAAGATAGTTACACAACTTCTATACTTGGATCTTTCAAAAACCCAAAAAGGGTCAAAAGCTTTCAACGATGGAGATGAAATAAAGCTCGCCAAACTTTAAGAATTGTTACAAACAAACAAACAAAACAGAGAGAAAATGGAAATAATCCAAACAGCTACTGATGAAACAGAAAGAAACACTTTTTTTTTGTTCTTCCACTATTTTTTAATCATACAGTAGTTTTTCACATTTTAGACTCAAACCTTCAACGATTAAGCTGGTTCACTGCAGCTATGAATCAGGTTTCTCTTCCTCCTCTGTGATTAAAGATTGCAAATGTTGATTCCATGGAAACATTTGCAGCCTCACCGAATAAACGATTTAAAGATGTTGTGTGTATGTGCCTACACATCTCTCATGCTGATGTTTAGACTATTTTTCATTGTTCTTCTTCCGACACCAGCATTTCCCTTTTGCATCATCGCAACAAATTCTTCATAGTCAATCCTTCCATCCTGTAAGAAACAAAAACCAAAACTTTATCAGCAGATACCAATAGTGAAGAGTGGAAGAATCATGTCAAGAGGCAAAGCTTACGTTGTCTTGATCTACTTCTTTGATTACGTCTTCAAGAAAAACATCGGTCATCCCATGTTCAATGCACGATTGTTGCAGCTCATCAATGGTGATGTAACCACTTCCATCTTTGTCAAAGTACTGAAATGCAGAGACAAGATGCTCTTCTCTTTCTAGTTTATTCAGATGGATCGTAGCTGCAATAAACTCGCTGTAATCTATTGTTCCGCTATTGTCCACATCAGCCTAAGATACAACACAGAGAATAGTTATTGTCATCTATATATCGAAATGAAGAAATATATCTCTCAAAAGGATTCATTTTTACCGCTTCCATAAGATCTCGAATCTCGGTGTCTTTCAAGGTTGAACCATATCTTCTCAAGCCAGCTTTGAGTTCATCAAAAGTGATTGCACCGCTGTTATCCGTATCCATTGCCTCAAACATTGCTCTTAAACCCGCAATCTCTTCTTCTGAGAGGCTCTCAGCTATCACCTGTTAATTCCATAACAAGTAATATGAGTAAACATATCTCAAACGAATGTAATGCAGAGACAATAGAAGATAGAGTATAACTACTAACTGACCTTTAAAGCCATCTTCTTTAATTTATTCATTGCCGAAAACTGTTTGAGACGAGACAAAACAGCCGGGTCAAGTGCTCTATCCGGTGCAACTCCGTTCTCGCAGATCCATGGATGGCCTGAAAAAAAAAAGAGATACAAGAGATATAGTCTTATATTGTGTGGCTGTCCAAAGTAACCATTTATTTAAGTCTAAATGATTACGTACGCAAGACTTCATGAGCAGTCAAGCGTTCAGAGGGACTGGAGCATAACATCTTCCGGATCAGATCTTTAGCGCTGTCGGATATGACGGGCCACGGGTCTGACTCAAAGTCGATATATCCCTTCAACACAGCATCAAATATTCCTTGCTGTGTTTCTGATTCCAAAAACACAAAACCAAACTTCAGGAAACCTTGTCAATGGCACTAAGGGAATGTATTGAAGCGGCAATATGCCATCGCGCATACCTGCCCAAAAAGGCGGGACACCACTTAGTAAAATGTAGAGTATAACACCAGCAGTCCACACATCAGCTTCTGGACCATAATGTTTAAGAAGAACCTCAGGAGCAACATAGTATGGACTTCCAACAACATCCTTGAATATTTGGCCTGAAATTAGAGTAAGACAACACATTATACAAATGTTGTATACGGCAATACCGTCATGGTACTTGAATAGTTTCAGAACACAGAGAAGCTCGCAAGTATAGCAAAACTAGATTCTTCATCTAAGATAAACCCATTGTTGTAATAACGATTTTTCTAAGATGCTTTGACACTAAACTAGATACCACATTACCTGGTTTGAAGAAAACAGAGAGACCAAAATCAATGGCCTTAAGAGAGAAATCATCATCCTTATTAACCAACAAGAAATTCTCAGGCTTTAAGTCTCTATGCATAACACCAAGCGAATGACACGCCTCAACAACACCGACAATGATCTTGGTCAACTCAGCAGCTTTCCTCTCGCTGTAATGCCCTCTATGAATAATCCTATCAAACAACTCACCACCAGCACAAAGCTCCATGACAATGTGAACATACAAAGGATCCTCATAAGCTCCTTTAATCGTAACAATGTTCTTGTGACCAGCTAAATGATGCATTATCTGAATCTCCCTCCTAACATCCTCAACATCTTCTTTAGATATCAATTTCCTCTTGGATATAGATTTACAAGCATAATCATTACCTGTAGCAACCTCAGTACACAAATACGTTGTACCGAATTGTCCTTGTCCTAGCTTACGGCTCAACGTGTAAAGATCACGAATGTTAGGAGTCTTGTGACCAAGAACATAGTAAGCTTGATTGTCAACGTTACGACGCATAATGGGTTCTCTAACAGGAATCACAAGAGCTGGATTGTTCTTGTTGTTGTTGTTGTCCTGTTTTTGAGCTTCTTTGGAGAAATCTTGTTCTGTGGTCGGAGAATGAACAGAGGAAGAAACAGTGGTGGTGGATTTGGAATTCTCCTCGGGCCTACTATTATTGCCCTCGTAGATTTTGTCCTTAAAAGAACCACGACATGAATTGCCCATGAAACAACTCTCTCTATTTCACAACCTTTTTCACTTTCTTCTTCTCCTCATCCAACGAAACTGCTTGATGAAGAAACATACACAAACAAAAAAAAAAAACAAGAATCAGAACAGAGAAGCATAAAAGTATCAAACTTTGGAACGAAATCACAGAACCCACATCAGATCAAGCTTCAAAAAACATAATTGTTTTGTAATTTTATCAAGATTAAGGAAAGAACAAAAAAAAGACAAGAGCTCCTGAAAAGTCGTAGCTTTAAATGTTCATCGATCATTTTTATTACCAATATTATAGATCGCACAAAAGAATCAAAGACACAACAATAAATGAAGAATCAACTGGTAATAAAAGAAACATGAGAAAACAGAGGATCTAGTACCGGAATATAGCAGAACAGCGAGAAGACGATGCAATGGAATTAGGATTATGATTAATATTTCTGGGAGACGAAGAAAGAAATGGGAAAAAAAAACTCAAAAAGGATAATTATTCGTTTTAAGTCAATAACAAAAGAAAAAATGGTTTCTTTCTTTTGTGTTTTGTTTAATAGATAGATATATCTATGTGTGTTGCTGTTTCTGGTTGGGTAATTGGATTCGTCGAATCATTAGAGTGTTAAAAAGATTTATTTTTGTGGATTTGTGAAATGATGAAGGAGAGAGGATGGTGCAGAGAAGAAAGGTCTTACGCGGTTTCGTCTCACCTTCTTCATTCGTTAATTGCTCGTTTAATTAGTATTTGATTAATCATATCTTCTTTTACTGGTGTAATGATACTTAATGCAAGTAGGGAGAATAAAATTGCAATAATTTGTTTATGGTTTATTTAGGATAACTTTATTTTTAAGAGAATGATTATAAGCCTAACGTTATATTAGCTTTTTTAGAGTTGGATGTGTTTTTTATGCCCAACTTAGCTAAAGCTAACTACAAAATATTATTATTAGATGCATATAGTTAAGAGTTAATTAATGCCTTTGATTAACAGTACGAAAAAGTTGTTAAACAAAATGTAAAGTTATTTATGTTGACTTTTCACATTGCTTCATCAAGATTGTACTACATTCTTTTTCTTTTCCTATTTTTTTACTAGCATCAAGATTGTAATAAATAAGATTTACTATTGAGTATTGAATAAGCATTCTGGTTTGTGTACGTTGCAGCGATAATTATAATTCTAATTTCAGGATCAAAAATTTGGTTATAAATAATTAGTAGTGAATCCATTAAGTAATGCAAAATTTGACCAATAACGATTGTAATTAGAAGAAACACTTTTTCTTAGAAGAACTAAGGCGTGAGACATGTCATTGTCGCCTGTCAGTTAGTGAGTAAGATCGCAGACTAAAATTTGTCTCGCACGTGGTACAAATTTAGTCTTGTACTTTTTTTTTTTCTTTTTGACATCACAATTTTAGTTACTTACGATTTTCTTTTTCGATTAATAACGATTACAAACCTGAACCTGTAGCTTTTGAGCAAGAACAATAAAATCTCAGTCTTCTCTTCTCAAACAAGATGGTCGACAACATAACAAAGATAACCTAACACTTCGCTGCACGCGAAGCAAAAACATCGAAGCACTCATTCCAACCGCTACACGATGCTCACAACACTCGGTATCTACTAACATAATAATATGTTTTAAGTTTCTGGTTCTGATGTTGATAGAGATATATCTACCAGTTCCTCTACTTGTAATGCTACTATTTTCACAATGTATAATCACTGCTAAGATGAGAATTGGAGCATAAAGATTAAAGCTACCGCTAAATTTTGGGTAGTAACAATCATACAGTAAATTCATGTAGCAGCAGAGTCAACCTACTACATACCGAATTTCACTAATGTGCATCAATCACTGAAAATGCCAAATTCTAGTCCAATGGAATGGAAGCATCATGTAATTTATTCTTTTTAGAAGGAAAAAAACTATCTTAGAAACTTGTGCTCTCTTACTCTTCAGCCATTTAGCCACTTGGATTATCAAGTCCTTGAGGAAGCTTTCCAGGATAGTTTGTGGTCTCTGCAGAATCAGTCCCCAGGTTCCTACACAACCAACAGTACCATAATGAACCAACACACTCACAAATCTTATATATCCATTATGTCATAACTTATTGCCACTTTTGGCCTCACCCTTTATCCACGATAACCATTGAGCGAAGCTCACAGTTGCTGAAACTGAACAAAGTTAGAGATTTTGATTAGTAAACAGTTTCTGCATCCTTGAAGTTATACAAAAGGTTGGTGCTTGTAGACAAGAAGTTTCTGTTAAGCTCTTACTGTATAGACAACTCTTTCTTGATGTCATCGCAACAATCTTTCCCGAAAGAACTCAAGAGACCGTGCAAGAAGCCGCTGTGAGATACAATCGCGATCTCCTTCTCTTTCCTTGTCCATATCCTTCACAAAGCAAATGGCAGTAGAGAGATTCAGCTATACATTTGTTTACATATCTCAATGGGAAAATTAGTAAACAAAAATGAAACTCACCATTTGATGAACTCTACACCTCTGGCTGCAACTTCTTCAAGGCTCTCTCTTGGACTCGGCTTCCACAAAACATCCTTGTCTGTTTCAATCTAAAACCATAGATAAAACTAGCATAAGCAACTCTCCAACACTTCCACAGAGATAGATATTAACCACAAATAAGATGTTTTTTTTTACAATGGAGAAATCGATTGCGGGAAAAAGAGCCTTGTACTCTGTGACGCTTCTTCGCCTATCACAAGGATGATCCCCCTACATTCATAAATAAACAATCTTTAACAATGTGATCTTCACTCATCTATATATACTAACACCACCCCTTAATTACATATAGTACCATAGTTTCCCTGCAAAGCTCAACAGCAAGGAAAGGCGGGCTATTTAAGCTAGAAATCGCAGGACGATCGCTGTTCCCAGCATTAGCCACCATTAACGGTGTTGCATCCCCTCCATTAGTATCTTCTTCTCCTCCAAAAGCACCAACAGCTGTTTGTATAGTTCTACATTTTGAAACAAATCATAAAAACTGAGTCTTTATAGTTATTTCAGTTATCTAAATAACCAAAAAGCACAAGAGCAGAGCTTCTAATCTTTTGTTTGAAAGATTGTGAAACGTTTTTACCTAAGCAAAGGTGAAACAATGACAAGTTCAACCTTGTTCAAGAGTTGAGTTGCTAGAACATGGTTCCGTAGATTATCAACCTGAACCACAGATAGATGATGATGACAACAAGATCGTTCATTAGGATCGAGAACAGAACAGAGATTAGAGATATACCTGTTGCCAACCAAGAGGGGTAAGATGAGCATCAAAGTAATCCTCAGAAGAGTAAGCACTGTGATCTTTTTCACCAGCTACATTATGAATCCCTTGAGCATGTCTCACCTAACGAAAACAAAACAAAACCCGTCAAGAATCTTGGGAGAGAGACAGAGAGAGAGAGAATAAGAACCACAGTTTGTACCAGGTGAATGGTTTTGCAACGATGAAGAGGGTAAAGACCTATGCTTTCGTGGTCCATGGCTACAACTACAACAAGAACAAATCTTCAAATCAAGATCAGACCCAGAAAGAAAAAGATGTGAAATTAATTAGATGTTACCTTAAACGATGATAATATAACAAGGAAGAGATCCTAAACCGCCGGATATGCCACTCTCTCTATTCTCTAATCTAATAATTATTATTATTTTATGTTTTTGAAAAAAATAAAAAGTGAAGAGACGTGTGAGATAGAGAAAGGCCCTTGAAACTAGCCCAGTATTTCACACGGTATCATCATAGTTGTGTTTTTTTTTTTGTTTGCTTGTACTTGTACACCACATAGTACCAAAACACAAAGAATTTGGTTGGCAAAAAGACTAGGAATAAAAAAACTTTTACTCCAAAGAAGAAAAGAAAAGAATCCTACAATAACGGAGAGATAAGTTTGAGGGTTTAAACACTAATTAAGATGCAAAGAACCTGCTAAAGAAATGGAAGGTGAATGTTTTTTCACTGTTTTTTACTTTTAAGAAAGTTATGTGAACGTGATAAGTTACAGTGGAGAGATTCCTCCATGATGCTCTTGTTATGAAAAAGCAAAATTTCAAAAAAAAAAAAACGAAAATATCAAGACAAAAACTAATCAGCTAAAAGCCTAAAACCAAGTACTTGGATAAAGCTATTGAACGATCTAATAACTGCAAAATCTCAGTCTTCTCTTCTCAGACAAAAATGGTTCAGAACATAGCAAAGATAAAACCAGACACTTTCCTTTGACATCAATCAGTTAAAGATAATAGTTTCTGTTTACAGCAATATCACTCATTAGCACTTTACTTACAATCCAATTTCAGGCAGGGGTTGAGGAAATGCATTTGCGCATGAAACAAAAAGATCAAAACGTTCCTTCCAACCGCTACACAAGGCCTCGGTATCTACTTTCAAGAGAATCTTACATGACAGTATGTTTTGAGTTCCTGGTTTTATTGTTGATAGAGATAAATCTACTCTTCTAAGATTCACACTGATAATTTAGTTGCATCCACTGGTGCCTTCACTCCTCCGCTTGTAGGGCTATAATTTTCACAATTGTATAATCAAGCTGGTTAGATGAGAACTGGAGCTGGAAGATTAAAACTTCTGATATGGAAATTTTTTAGAGCAATGTCTACTTACAATCCGCTTAAGACTTTGATGGCATCGTAAAAGAACCATTGCAAGGTAATGACAGGTCCAACAATCGTGATCCGAACGGGAAGACTTCTGGTGAAAAGACCAACAAACCCAATGTTCCTCACAGCCTGAAGCTCAGCAAATAACCAACATCAATCAAGAATACTTCGCTCGATGGTATGCAAAATGGAATTCAAAGATTGAACTGTTTATGATGGTTAAGAATCTACCTGCAACACACTCTTGGCTTTGTTGTTGTAGAGAGATGAAAGAACCACATCTGCGGGGTTAGAGATGACTGTACCTACGGCTCCAGCAGTATAGCCAGCAAGACATGTGACACCAAGTTGTTGAGCTTTAGAGCAATCTTGCTTCCTTTTCTGGATAATATTTTGATATATAAACTCAACTGACTGCTCAAACGTTGAGAACATCACCATAGAAACTGAAACCACATAGAAGATATAATCAACAAGATATGGTTTTGGTAGAAAACACAACCAAGTTTACAAACAGATTAAATCAAAATGATGCAGAGTGCTCAAATTGATTTAGTGAAAACAGGCATTGCGTGAAGCAGTAATATTACATGGAAGATTGCGACACCAGAGCGGAAAAAGTCCTCTGTGGAAGCTGCATTTGTAGAGAGAAAAGACTCAAAAAAACAAACGCAAAGTGAGACAGCCAAGCAGAATGGTTGTGAAGAAAAGGCTTACCCAGCAAGACCTTCACTTCTATACACTCTTGGAAATCCATCAAGCAACCCTTTTGCAAACATGGGCTGCGTCTGAACTCTAACTTTTATGGCTTCAAAAGGACATAAAGCCATATCGGCGAATATCTGAGCAGAAGCACTGCTGAGAAAATATATAGAAGTTCTGTTATGATTAGGTAACACATTGCTGTAGAGTGTCTTGAAGTACTCATAGAGTCCGAATCTGCATCCACCTTGAACACCATAACCTAAAGCTTCCCTGACCAACCTCTCCAAAGATAGGAATAGCCATGCTCTCTTAAGAGGGTAGAGAAACCGGAAGGAATACTATTGTACTTCACTGGATTCACCTAAAAGAAAGAATGATCGATCCTCATTGACTGATCAATCATAATGGTTCCAATTTAAGCACAGAGAAGAGCAAAAGATCCTAAATTTCGAAGCTATATCCATCATTATACATCCCTAACAAACAAGATTAGAGATTTGAAGCATCAAAGATGAAATCAAGAAGCAGAGAAAGGAAACACAAACCTGCATATTGACTTTGAGGACATCAAGAGGAGTTATAGCTAAATGGGTAGTTCCAGCACTAAGCATTCCTCCCATGGTACAAACAGTGTAAAACCAAGGAGACGACAATTCATCGTCTAGTTTACTCTTGACTCTTGTCATCTTCTTACCAAAATCGTTTCAAAATCCTTGATAAACCCTAATCGTAATCTCTCAGAACAAAAGTTGTTCTTTGGCTTTTTCTCTGGTAAACCCAAAACCCAGAAACGAAGAAACACGTCACAAGGAAGCTATAGAAGAAAAGGCAAAGAGTGGGTACGTGGAAGGGTTCTCATTTTCTGATGGAGATCGCTCGTCCACGTCTCTCGGACAAAGACAAGGCTCAGAAATAAACACAAAGGCTCTCTTTTACATTTTCTACAAATAAAGTTCCAAGCTTTCGGGAAGGTTGGCGGAAAAATCGAATCTTTAAGGGAAATTGTAATTTCAATTTAGGTTTCATGCCGGCGGATAGATTCGTTGCCGTTACCGGAATCATGTATGAGTTCTCTTTTTTCTAATTGGGCTTTCATGGGCCTTAGAGTTTGGGCTCTCAACTATAAAGGTTTGCTCCACTAATCAGTGACTAAAATTGTTAGCTTGATAAGATTGAAAGAAACTCAATTTTGCTACTGATTTGGTGAGTGATACTGTGATACTCAAGAAACCAAAAGGAGCTCAACAAAACTCAGAGAACATTGTCCTTTATTTGTGTAGAAACAAACATCTTTATTATCATCTAGAAATTACAGTACAGAGGAAGATTTGTTCCAATCTCTCAGCATAATCAAAACATCATAAGAAGATCACCTGGAGATGCTGTTGACAAGCCTAGCACCAACTTTATCAAGCTTCTTCACAGAAGCAACAGATTTCAAATGTCCAACTTTCCAAAACGCTTCCACCATCTTCTCTCCGATCACTTGACCCTTCTCCTCTGAATCAATCACCGCAACCGCTGTTGGTCCAGCTCCGCTAATCGTACATCCAAACGCTCCAGCTTCTAAAGCTGCCTTCTTCACAGCTTCCATTCCAGGAATCAAAGGCGCTCTAGTCGGCTCCACAATCTTATCCGACGACAATGCCTTCCCAAGCATCACCGCGTCTCCTTCTAACACCGCAGCGACTAAAGCAGCCGCTTGACTACTGTTCCAAACATGGTGAACCATTGGAATCTCTGTAGGCAATGCAGCTCTCATTTTCTTAGTTGGAGCTTCAAACTCAGGACTCACTAGAACAAAGAAGAGATCTTTATCCGATGGGAACCTCAATGGTTTCAAATCAAGCGGTTCGTAGTTTCGAATCAAAACGAATCCACCCATGATCGCTGGTGCGATATTATCAGCGTGATAACCGGAAACCTTAGCTTCCGATTCTAAACCGGCTAAAACCAATTGATCACTCCCTAATTTCCGGCCAAAGATCTCATTAACCGCCACAGCAGCTGCGGCGGCGCTAGCTGCACTAGAACCTAAACCGCTACCTAAAGGTAAGCCTTTGTGCAAATCTAAAGACAAACCAACCGATCTAATCCCTAACATCTTCATCGTAGCAATGGCGGCGATTCCGGCGCAGTTCCGGAGAGGATTTGTGCTGAGTTTTGTTGTAGTTCCGGTGATCTCCGAGATTGAGACCTCACCGGCACGAACAGAGGGATCTACACGGAGAGTCACATGGTCACCGAGACCATCGACGGCACATCCTAAGAAATCAAACCCTGGTCCCAAATTAGCAACGGTGGCTGGCGCAAAAGTCTTGACGGAGACAAAAACTGGCTCCGGCTCAACGGCGACGAGGGTTTGTACGGAAGCTCTGCATCGAAAGACTGAGACTTTCGTGAATAACGGCGGCGATGGGTTGGATTTGGGTTGGAAATAGGAAATGGGTTTGGAAGGAGATTGGAAACAGAGACTCGCCATTAAAGAAGAGTAATGAGATCACAAAAGCAAATGAACAAAAGACGAAGACTTTAAACAGATATATAAAGAGAGAGATGAACAAACGTGACCACCTAACCTAATGTTTTCTCCAGTAAAGCTGATTACTTTAAAGACGCAGTGAGTGAGATCAGATTCAGACCAGTGAAAATCAACGGTTTAACAATAAACCGAACTGAACCGAACCGGGAAGCTTGTCCATTTTGGTTTGGCTTTAGGTTAGATGATTGTAAATGGTATATATAATAAACAAAATCTCATTTTGGTTGCAAATGAGGTGTGTGTTGAAATGTACAGATGAACAAAATCATAAGGATAGTATTCTGTTTTCTTCATATAGGTCTTCTAGATGCACTCCTCGAGATAATGCTATTCGCATTCATAGAAAGATCGTTGTTTCTTTTGCGCTTTAACCTTCGCTTTGTTTCTTCTTCCTTTTCATCAACAAATGCTAGAAAAGTCTGTAGCTTTGTTAAACGTGAAGCTTTTGGTGAAGGTATAGCTACTTCTTCTTCTTCTACTTCTGGTGTGTGTTTGCAGAAGTCGCGGACTATTTTGAAGAAGTGGATAAAGAGAGCGACGAGACAGGCTATCCCAACCACAAGGAACATGCCCCAGAAGCTATGCACGTTGAGCTGTTCTGAGTCACCTGACTGAGACCCGTGCGGGCTGCTGCAGTTAGATTTCGAAAGCCATTTGTCGTGGATCTTCTGAAGTTCGCCAGTTTCGGATAGCCCAAGAATCGCGGTTGACATGTCAACTGCTAGAGGAGAGTCTCTTGGGAATGCCTTTTGTTGAACAGAGAATGCAAAAATGTGATCAGAATTATGTTTAAACATGCTGGTAAAGAGAGAAGAAATTCGGAAGATGACTCACAAATCCCCAACCGCATCTGGTGAATTCTTGGCCTCTGATGGCAAACTTACAGTAATCTGAAAGGAAGAGATCAATATAAGGACGTTCATCAACAATTGCAGCAACAGTGCCATTTTGAAGTGCATTAGCATATTCCTCAGGAGAGGCGAGAGGCACAAGTCTGGATCTGGCAATGTTAAGCTCATCAGTCATGTAGTTTTCAGCAAAAGAACCAACCTGGAAGCCAATACGACCAGTGCTACTGATGAGTGTATCTACTCCTTTTATAGGTGAATTAAGCTGTTGCACTGTAAGTATCGATGTGAGACTCGCTGTGTAGCTAGATGTAATTATCAGAACCACAAAAAGCCATATCAGAAGTACCATACGACCAAGCGTGCTCACTGTAGTCTCTCCTGAGAGTTTGATTTCATAAAGATGTTAAGAACTTCACACAGAAATTGCAGTAATTAGCTTGAGGGGTGTTGAGACTTACTGTGGGAGAAAAACATCGTCGAAAAGGTGAACCTGCATCGTAATAAACGATTAAAGCTTGTATTAGCTATAGTAAGCTTCATTTTATGCAGACAAATAAGATGACTCTTGTGTACTTACCAGAGAATGGTAATGATTTGTCTTCTTGGCGGACCACGAAACTCATCATTTATACGGTGTTCAAGAATCCATATTGCAGCTCCAACAATAACGAAAAAAGATGCTGTTACTCCCCACATAGGAAGAGTAAACGGGCGTAAAAAGGCCCAAGGATTTTCGTTAAGTCTTGTGACAGGAGCAACAACGACAAGGCCTGACTCAATGTATGGCTGGGTGAAATCCACAATCTTGGTCCGCTTGGTGACAATGGCTATGTCGCCTACAACAGCATCAAAGTCAACCCCAGTAGTGACCTTGTTGACCAGCTCATTGTAGTTTGGATTCGTTAGACCATCTCCGAAAAAGATGAACTCGTGAGGAACCGGATAAGAAAGCAGTTTCACCGCAGCTTCAAATACATCAATGCAATATCCGTGTACTTTGTTGCTACTTCCATTGACCCTTGAGACAAAGTCCTTGAAGCTTGCTCTATCAGGAACACCGATTCTCAACCGCCTTCCATTGTTACGAAAAACCCATCCGCGAGGTGTAATTGAAGTCCCACCAGGCCAAGTTACAGAGTTCAGATGTTGGTTTGAGCTAGAATGATTAGGAGGTTTGCTGTAAAATGATTCAGGCGGTACAATAGAAAGACCAGAATAGTTAGACCAGTAACCTATTTGGTGAACCCTGTCATCAACCAAATTGATAATATCATATGAAGGATGTAGCATTGATCTGTCTGGATGAAATTGAACAGGACCAGTTAGACCGGACATCTTTGTATGCACAATATAATCAAGAAGTTGTGATCCTTGATCAAATCTGCTTAATGCACTTAGATTCAATGCCTCACCTTTCAAGCTGCCTAACTTTGCATCATTGGAGAAGGAAAGATTACCTCCAGCTTCCAGAAGTGTCTTAATGGCTCGAGCAATGATCCAGACAGTATCATAAGCATACAGACCATAAACATTCAACCCAATAGTCTTATTGTTACTCAACTTGTTCTTCCACCGTGCTGCAAAGTCCCTCTTCTTTCTCGATTCTGGCGTGTGAAGACGCAGTGTTAGAACTCCATTGAGTAATTTGGTATCCAAAGGCAAATTTGAATCTAGCAGAGAAGACAACCAAGTTGTAGCTATCCAAACATAGCCTTTCTCCATCATCCCTAATCTCTCTGCTTCCTTAAAGATCATCTTGCCTGTATTTGGGAAAGTATTCACAACGATTACCCGAGACTCCATTCCCCGGATCTTAGTCAACTCTTCAATAATCTCAACTGGACTAGTAATCACAACATCCAACGGAAGTACAGCCTTGTAAGAAATCCTGCAACGCCTCTCTTCAAGCTCATCGCCTAACGCTGTAACGCCATTTCTGCTGTTATCATCATCATTATATAACGCCACAACATCTGACCAACCATAGTATGTGATCATCTCTGCAATGGCACGCATCAGAAACAGATCACTAGGTGCTGTTTGGACAAAGAATGGGAATTGGAGTGGAGACAGGGTAGGATCAAGAGCTGTAAATGACAACATCGGAACAGTAAGCTCATTGGCAAGATGAGACAACACATGAGCCATTATTGATGTCTGTGGACCAATTATAGCCACTGCATTAGTCTCCATGAATTGCAATGCTGCAACAACAAAGGATAAAGTGAAGTAAGTATCCATCCAAAAAGCAATCAAGAAAATGGATACAATGAAACAAGATAGGATTTTTCAGTCTTCTTGAACCTCCCATGATGCTGAGGAATCCACTGCGTTTAGCATCATTCAGCAAAATTTGCAATTTCGATCCACCGAGGAAGCTAGGATCGGAATTGACATCTTCCTCAGCAGCTTTAAAGGCGATATTCGCAGTTTCACCGTACATGGTGTTTAAACCAAATATAGCACCAACTTTAATAACAGGAGGCCTAGAACTAGAAGCCCCCTCTGAAAGTAACAACCCACCACCAAGAACAATAACAAAGCTCCATAGAACCCAATTCATTAAGCTTAACACAGAACAACAAAATGAGACCTTTTAAGTTAAAACCCAAAAACAGTTTTCACAGGCAGAGATTCAAAGCAAGTAGCTTTCAGTTTCACCAGTGTCACGGGAAATTTTTAGACCCTTTTACCACAAAAGACGATGGAGATGAATTAGAGGCAGAGATTATACCAAAACCCAAAACCAAATCATCCTTAAAGAAGAAGATTAATGACTAAAAAGGGAAGGCATGAGGAACAAGCAAGAGAAAAGAAAATGAAAGGACATGGAATATTATAAATCGTGGGTATAGTTGAAGATTTGAGAAAGGAGGAAACTTTATGTTTTAATGGGTTTTGAAATTTGATTGCTTCTTACAAAAGAATCCATGGAGGAGAAGCTGCTTCAGGAGAAAACAGAGGAAAACTTTTGATTAATGGAAGGAAAACGTGGGAAATGACATGGCCAACTACGACAGTGGTCACTGAAACAAAGATCTCCATTAGGAGGAAGAATTGTCAAAACACTGAATCTAACCCTTTTCTTTCCAAACCCCAAAAAGGCAAAAACAAGAGGAGCAATTGAAATGATTGAGAAAAAAAAAACTCAAACTAGTATCTTTAGAGAATAAATAGATAATTTGTTAGAGAAAATAGTTATATGCACTTTTATACACTAATTTGCATTTCTATATTCTAAATTTATGGTAACATTCTTACGATAATTTTGATAATAACTAAATTATCAATTGCCAAATATTTATTATTATTATTATTATTGCGAAATTTTAAAAACATGGTTTCGTTATCTCGCCTAAAATATGATTGCACAAACCCTTCAGAAAATATCTTATACACCCGGTCATACTTTACTGTTTTAAAATTGTGAAACTAAATTAGTTACTAAATTATGTCAACCAATTACCTTTTAAAAATTAAATTATGCCAACAAATTAGATATTGAAACTAAATGAAGTTGGTAAAAACTAAAAAGGTTATTTGTGCAAAATCAAGTTTTCAATAAAGGCTATTTAGCCAATTACCTTTAATCAAATTATTTATGGTGATTTACCACAATAATCCATTTTATTTTTGGGATAACATTTAAAAAATTTAAAATCTGAATTTTTTTTTCTATATCCTTGATGACATTATCTATATTTATTATATCCCACCTATTGATTATTAAAAAACAAAAATAATTAACAAAAGTTTTGAAAATAAAATAATTAATATTTCAAAAATTATTATATAGAAAACCACTATATCTTTGAAAAGTAAAATAATTTAAATATAAGGTTGTAGATCCAAATATTATTCATTAAACTTTGTTTGTGCATCATTCCAAATATTACGCATTGCAAATATTTGGTTGTGCTTAGTAGTGGTGTTAGTGTTGATAGTACTACCAAAGCACTAATAAAAGAATGCAATGAGTAATATTTGGAATGATGCACAAACAAAGTATAATCCAAAGGAATATATGGGATTTTTGTGGAATCTCCACTGAAATTTGGACCACATATATACATATATAATATATACTGTATAAAAATTGTTTTGTTATTATCAACGCATTCCGATTAGTGAACCAAATCTCCTATTTTTCCTATGAATAAAAGCAAATGTCATCATTTACCCGTTTGAGATCTTTCTACTTTCTAGGTTTCCCTTTTTTTTTGGTAGAAACTTTCTAGGTTTCCCTTGATATCCTCATAATTGCAAATTCTAATATGATATTTCATGTTTTGTTATCAAATACAGCGGTTTTTCTTTATTTCTTAAATATTAATTAAGAAACACTATTGAAAAAAAAAACTTATTCTCATCCTGTGCGGATAAATTACCAAGTATTTAGTATTTGTTATCCAAAATTTTTGACAGAATTTTTTTATTACTAAACTACAAATAAAGCATTCGGACCAAAGTCCAAGTTGTCAAGAACTTGCACACGGGAGAGTCAAACCTAAGGCTACATCAAATTTACACCCTTATTACTAAAGGCGACACCATTGAACTTGTACTAAGTACTAACCAATGATTCAATCATATGTTCATCCATTCGGGGTTTAAAATTTAACTTTTAGGATGTTAAGATTATAATTTACAAAAATAGATTTTATACTATTTTTATTTCGTTATAAGAATCTAGACTATTTTTCTTGTGCCTTGTTTTCATGGTTCACATCTCTATTTCCATATACGAATTGGACCGGGACTCGTATCCATGGGCCAAAAATTTCTACCCGGCGCAAAACATAATTTCTCAACATCAAGTATGTGACACATTCAGTATCAAAACCAAAAAACTATATCTGATCGATCAAAACTACAAAACAAAATTTGGTAGCACAAATAACCTGCAGTTTTTTTAGTTCATGAGTTGGTTACTCTTTGAAATCAGCATGTGCCTTCCTCTTGTGGAATGGTGAATGTCCACCCCGGAAAATCTGAATCTGCAAACAGAGATGTTGGAACCGTTTTGTAGAACGCTAAAGGAACTTGCTTTACCCTTCTACGAATCTGCCAATATTAAGATTATCCACAGTTAGTTCAACTAATGGTATCGGTTTTGCAACTATATATGGAAGACCAAAGTCAAGTAAATTTTAATAACAAAGAGTTGATATCATATGAACCAATGTAACATTACCTCGTCTCCAAATATGGTGGCATATGAACCAGAGCTAAAATCTTCAATTTTCATTTCAGTGGTTTTTGATCTGATGGTTAGATTAGTTTCTAGAGATGAGATAAACCTAGAAAAGTGAAAAGAGGAATCAAGGAAATGACCAAATGTAAAAAGAAATTAAATTTATGGATATAATCATTTGGTGAGCAAATATACCTTGAAACTGGTGGGCAGTAATGATGGCGCAAAGTGTCGATTTCCCAAAGAGAACTTTCTGTAAAAAGTAAGTTTGAGGGTTAAAAACGAATATCATCAGTTCTCTTACAAAATGACTTGACAAGACAAAAACTTACCGAAAGCAAAACAACACATTGTTCTTGAACTTTCAAAACGGTAAAAACTTTACTTTATACTTTATCTATGAATCTAGAGAACCCGGGCATGCTTATCAAACTAATATATCTAATTATGCTACAAAGCCGCTGCTATGAAAGTACAAATCAGGAAATCTGAAAGCATACGCATCATCGTTTTTTGTTGGATGAATTATGCTTCTACATAGGGGTGTGATTCTGTGCTAGGGGCGTGGAAAGAAAAAAAAAAGAAGACTTGGAATAGAATGATAAACCACTTACTTAAGGCTCCAGATTTCTTGGGATCACTCTCCTGGTTGTTAAAATAGTCAATACCAAGCTTTCGCTTTTTGATGGTCTTTGGTTGGCTCTCATTGTGTTCACCAGCATCTGTGTTGGCTTCATTGGCGCTTTCAACGGTTTCCTGAACAAGAGTGACCTCTTTGTCAGACCATGCTTTATATACATTCTTTTGTTAAGTTGTGCGTGATATTATACAGAAGTCATTTTCCCATCTGGTAATATGTTCTTTCATTTTCAAGCACTAACAATGGTAGGTCGTACCTGCACAAGATGGTTGATTGTAGGATGTCTTCGTAAAAGGTTGTAGATCAAAGCCGTTATGACCAACGATCCCGCGGGAGGAATGGAAAGTGACAATCTGCTTAGTTTCTTTGTGAATGAAGCTGCCAGATATGCTGGAAGCATTGACGACTTCAGGCAAGCATCAAGAAGCTGCAGAAAGCGTTTCAGATATAGAGGGAAGAATAACAGATTATAAAGTAATCAGTTATTCATCGGTTACTCAAATATGGCAATACCTGAAGAAATTTTGCTCGGTGCTTTGCCACAAAGACAGAAGGAACCAGTAATGCATACAGTTTTTCATAAAAGTTCGGATACTCCAAACCATGTTGGGTCATGAGGATGAAGAGACTGCTAAGAGCCATCACACTGACAACTCCCCCAATGTCATATGATTTTGTTAAGAAGTCGCTGCAAAATATGGTGAAACATATGTAAGCTTATTGAAGGACAATGACATATACAGAATGATAGAAACTTTGGTAAATATGCCCACCATAACATTGTAGGATTAGATAGATGGGGAATGACTGTCTGGTGGATACTAGCAAGCACCTGGTATACAGAAGACAACATATTGGTAAGTCTCGTCCATGCCATATTCCAGACAAACGGTTAGATATGAAAGTAAATTGGCTCACCTCCTTGTAAACATCAAGAGGAAGAGGCAGTCTGAGAAATGAAATCCATGCTTTAGTGAACTTCAACTTCATCCTCTTGCTAATTGTAGTCGGAGAAAGGAGCTGGAATTTTACCAGAATAAATTAAGAGGCAAAAGTAAGCAATTACATGCCAGGAAGAAAACTTATTCACGAATTCAGTATATTTAGCAAACTTGCAACTGGAAACTCACAGTGCTGTCTCGTTCCTCAGTTTTCTTCTTTTTATCTGTCGGATTCGCACTACTACTTTCGTCTGGAAATAACAATAACTCTTATTAGCAAATCTATACACATAGGGAGTCATTTCCACCAAATTGGAAAACATATAGTCAAAAGCTCGGAAAATCACCTGACCCACTCCACATCTCATGGTGAGACTTTTCAGCTAGTTTCTCAGGAGGTGGAATTTGAGATAAAACTTGATAGATCTTACGAACAGAGAGTTCTAGGCTACAATTCACAATTTTTCCAGATTATCAACAAGACAGCAACACAATAACAAAAAAATAACAGCTTAAAAATTACATTCAAACAGCTTAAATATTACATTCAAAAGAACAACGAAAGATCAAACATTTACTGATACTAACCTTTCTTTTGAATCACTCTCAGCCTCACTATTTTCTCTTGCCGTTCTATCAGCTATGAGTACCACACACAAATTTTAAAAAAACTTACATTATGCATCATGACGATAACAAAGAGAGAATATATCAAGAAAGGAAATAAAACGCACCAGACACTGATTCTTCCAATGTTTTCACAAACTTTTCCATGCTGATGTAGGTAAAATAGCTGACACAAATCGATATCTAGAGTCAAATTCCCAAATGACCAAATAACAGCAAGCGAAAGAACATGGAGAATTACATATAAACTCAAAATGTTATCAACATACCGGACATCAATGTACTTGAAGTACTTTGAGGTAAGTATATCCAAGAATATCTCAATATCAACTTCAGAGTGAATCTACAGAGAACAATACTAAAAACATTAAGCACTGCAAATACAATAAGTAATGAAGAAGTCTGAGACTAAACTTACAATAGCATGAAGTAATCTGTGGTAGATTGAAGAATGAAACCTTCCAACATTCAAAAGCTTTACAAATTCCATTAATGTCCCCAACACAATTCCCTAAATCAACCAAAAGCATTAGATAACAAAAACAACAAAGCTATGTAACTTCAAGAGAGCAAAGAGAAGATAGATAGAACAAACTTACCCTTAGAGAATCTTCTGATTGTTGAGAGACGAGAACATCGAGTAAAAGCTTGACGAATTCGTCAAATTTTGATCTGAGCCAAGCTTTGAACACAACTTCAGGGTCATCGTCTTTGGTTGAAGAAGGAGATGAAGAAGTCGAAGGAAGCTGAGAGAGAAGAGGAGTGAAAAAGGATTGGAGTGAGAGGAGAGATTCGACGACGAACTCCGGCGGAGATTCTGGTGAGACGAAGGTGAGAAGGAGAGGAAGGTTATTGATGTGGGATCGAGAAGTGAGTAAGTCATGACCTAGTGATTTGAGCTCTTTCAATGTGTATTTTTCTTTCTTCTTCTGCTTCTTTGAGAGGATTGACGCCATTGTTGAGGTTTTTCTCTGGTTCGTGGCGGAGACGGTGGAAGAAGAAGAAGGGTTTAGCCGAGAGGTACAAGAAAACCTAACGATGTGATTTGCAAACAACACGACGTCGTATTTAGCACTCACTAAATTATGTTTATGCCCCAAACTATGTAACATATCAGGATTTGCCCCAAACCTTTTTTCTTTTCCAACTAAACATAGAGCCCATAAACCGAACCAAACCGAACCCTTAGGCTAGTTCTGTTCGGATTCAGTTTATTGTGTGAATTCATTCCGCAATAGGAGCGGATTGAATTGGTTTGGTTTGGAACCACAAAACTGATTATCGAAATATACCAAAATGAATTGATATATATTAAATTATATATACTTGAAATTATTAAAAAAAAATTGAAGATATCCAACAATTGACCGAACCAATTAACCATTTTCAGAAACATTTATGATTGATACTACATCTCAACTAGGCATGGACATATAAACCGAACTGGATCGAGGTTTGGGTATTTCTATTTCGATTTATTATGTGAACCCGATCGGAAAAAAAAAAGAATTGGTTTTGTTCAGTTCGGAACTACTGTACCAAACAAAATTACCGAATTTTTTATGCTAAACTAAATCGAAATTAGCAAAGCAAATCAACGAAATTAAATTTACAACAAATTCCTAAGAAAGTCATTGCAAAATGCAAATAATACATTGTATTTAGAACTCACAAAACAACAAATTAATATATGCCCCAGAATCATGTAAATATCAAATTTGGCCCTGATATTTTCGTTTACCTCAATTACAACCACTAAAGTATAATTGGGATGCCATTTTTCAACATACACAGGGAGGTTCGAATTTCCAAAGGATAATGTCTTAAAGGATAGCTTCTGAAACTGTGGCATTACACAGATATAATACACGAACACGAGTATGAGATTAAATCTAGCAACTAAATGTGAGAAAAGACTGATTCTTCTTCTTCTCCAAAACACTACAAAAGTTGAAACAAAAAGCCTCTTGGATCTCTCGATGTTTCCATCTTTCTTTCCTCCAACCAAAAAATCTATTGCTGCTTCTCGGGTTGTTCCTCTTCCTCTTGGTCTGGGTTTTCTTCTTCCTCTTCTTTCTTCTCTTCCTCTTCTTCATCTTCTTCCGGAGGATCATAAGGCATTGGCGGTGGCAATGGTGTCTTCATAGGGCTAAACTTTGGGAAAATATCAGGCCTCCTCCCAGGTTTAGGTCTTTCCCACTCCTAACAGTCGATCACAACAAAATTAACATTGAAAGTCGTCAAAAACATAACAAAGGAAAGCCAATGCCTTGATGCCAACCAAATGAGACATACTCTTTATATCGAACCTAAGTAGATTCTCGGATATTCATTCATAATCAAATCTATAGAAAAACAATGAACACTAATCCCTCCTAATGAGCAACCAAACCACTTTGGAGTCATGAATAGAAAGCATTTCTCTACACTTGTATCAATTGATTTAACTGTTACCACAAGTAGATTCATAAACAAGCCATGAACGAACCAGAAACATCGAAAACACAGACAAATCACAAACTCTTTCACAACAGTTTGGCCAATAGCTACTTTAAACCAAAACCACTTTGTTCTCAATCAAAATTATTACCACGGCGAATTGAAATGTGAAAGATCCGAAATCAGACCCGACCTGACCCGACCCGACCCGGGGAACTTACAATTGGGAAATCGAGAGGATTACGACGAGTGAGCTTTTCTTCCTCAGGAGCCATAGACACAACGTGTAGCGGATTCCGATTGCGACGCGAAGAAGAACGATGAACGGAAGAGAAACCATAGACACGCGACGAAGAGCAAACAAGCGAGCGCGAGTCGGAGGATATCTTCCTCTTCGTAGATAGAAACCCTAGAACATCGAGCGATGGAGAAGGAAGGAACTTCGCAGAGCAAAGCGACGCCATGGTTCCCCGGACGGAGCTAAATCGATTATCCACCAACCAAGAATTATCGAGTCACGTTCTAAAAATGTTTTATGCTGCTGCGTCTGCGTTTTTGATAATGGGCTTAAGGCTTTTATTTGATGGCCCATCAATACTACGATTTGTGTGAAGGGTGAACTATACTTTCGTATACTTTTTTAAATAAATCTATATATATAATAGGAGAGTTTTCTCTCCATCTAAGGTGTCCACATCAGCGACACATCAGCATACACGTCATCATAAATTTTTAATAGGTACAAAATGTACCTAAAAAGATTCGAACCTCTTACCTTATGCATATAATGAGTGCATCCCAAACCAAATTGCCATTTAAATCATTTTAATTGATGTAAAAATTAATTTATACAAATGCCACACAATTTATTTAGTAAAACAAGAAACATTAAAAATAAAATTAATTCACATACTTGTATATCATCATCTTTTAATAAAAGAAAATATCGGTTCACAAACAATAACATAGTTTAATATAAATAAAAAATAATATAATACAACACACAAAAATATGTGATAAAATTAGGATAAATATACAAGCACGTAGTTCAATTTTACTCAAAATAAGAAATGATTTACTTAATTTTAAAAAAAATGAATACTTAAAAGTTTTTTAAAATAGTGTTAAAGTAGAAATCTCTGTTACCAATAAAAATATTAAAAAATCTGAAAAGAGATTGGTTAAAGAGATAAGAATAAGAAGTACTCTATTTTAAAATAAAATAGTTATTTAGAATTTCTAACTATATTTGTTAGTATTAAAGTACCAAATTTCTTTTACCGATTAAAAATTTAGAAAATTCATTGTATATTAGTAAAATTCAAAAGTATTGGAGATTAGATAAAAAATATATTCATTGGAAGTTTGATGTTCTTTTTGGTGTTAATCATCACATCTGATTTTCTTATATAAAATTAATTAATTATTTTCATGTAAATATTTATCTTCAACAAAAACTTTCAAAATAAGCAAAAACCTAAGATGAAGAGTTGTTAAAACAAAAGTATGCATATAGATATCAGAATTGGATGATAATATCCATAAATTTCCAACAACATTTGGTATATAAAAATGTGAAAGAAGAAATAGTCAATGTGGTAGAAAGAAAAATTTAGATGCCACGAAAACTCATAATGAAGATAATTAAGAAGATAAAGTATCTGATATAAGAGAATAAATCACAACAAATTTCAAGTTTATAATTAACCGCAAAAGTCGAGATAACATTGGAAAAAAAAATATCAAATCAATGATAATGATATTAGTCACGATGAAAGCAAAAAACAACAATAATGTCTTATTATATGAATCTAAACACAACTACAATTTCGAAATAGTTATAAAAATATACGTATCATCAACCATATAAGTAAAAACATTAAAAAATTTCTTAAAATGAGAATTATTTTTTTAACACATATACTATTTTCTAACACACAAACTCGCGCATCGCGCGAGCCTATTTCTAGTCTCTTACTAATAAAAGAAGATCATTGAGACTTCTCAATGTGTCCACATCAGATTCTCTATCAAGTCCTCTGAAGATGCCACATCATCTCACTCTAAATTCTCAAAAATAAACCCATCAATTCATTCCAAATCATGCCACATCAACTTTCGCAAATACCTCTTCCTCTCCTCCTCAAAAAAACGTTACGCCACAAGACCCTAATAAATCAAAGTTTGAAACCTAAAACCTATCGTCTTTCACAATGCTACGATCTCTTTGGTTAATTTCAAACTTCGTTCATATCCTATGGTTTCCCACTCTCTCAGTCAATCAAAGTATCATTTTCAAATCGGAAGACTGTCATCTCTGAGACAAGGGATCGATAGTATGATCGCTAGCTGCATAGGCAGCCAAAAACTATCTGGTCCGACGGGAACATGTTGCAGACGAGGGATGTGGGGAAATCGGATCGTGCTGATCGTGAGATGTTGTTAGTCAAGTTCTTGCGATAGCTATTAGGATAATTACAAGTTTCTTTCTGCTATTATGGAACGGTTTGATAGGTGTGTATCTTCGAATTTATTATCTCTATTTCAGGTTTCTCTTACACTCTTTAAAAATTAACATACATGAATCAGAATGTTAAATATTCGATGGATAGTTGATTTTGACACAAATTTTAATGATTGTTTTGTGTTTATTGTAGAGTTGGAATGCAGGTTCCGAAAATTGAAGAATGGTTTCAGAATTAGAATCTTCAAGCTGATGTTCAAGCTGCTACAAGTGCTTCGTCCACTTTGGTTAATGCCTCTCGTGATTTTGTTGAGATTTGGCTTTTTTAAAAAAAAAAAAAAAAAAAAATTAGCAATCTGTTTGCAAAGATTGTTTCTAATACTTCATTTCTCTGTTGCAGCGTGTCTTCATGATTACAATAAACAAACCTAGAACACAAACTAACGATTTTGAAAGATATCATTGAGATTACCAAACCAAGAAGGTAAGTTAAAAGACAGTTTAAATTATAAATTAACTATATAGTCACAAGCACTAATTGGTTACTATATTTTGCAATTTTTTAAGGATGGCTTTCTTGTAAGGACCACATGGTTCTATAAAATCAACTTTACTTCTTACTTTGGCACGAAAACTTATTAAGAGTATTAATGTTAGTTAACCCGTGAAGTGAAATGCTGTTCTCATATATATCACTTTTATCTTATGTTAGTTATCTCTTTTTGTTTAGTAGTCACATGCATGTGTCTTAATGGTTTGTAAGTTGATCATATGGGAAGGATCGTATGATGCATCTTGAGCCTTGGTTGAATTTTCCTTTACCTGAAGAGGAAGGCAACTTTGATGGTAAGTTTTCATTTCAGATATTCGTTGGACATGTAAAATTGTTTCTGGTTTTTGAGTTTAGAAAACTTATTCTATATATAAACTCGAAATTTGTTCTAATCACTGAGATTTTGATTATTCCTTGTGAAGATTAAGTGGACTTTTTGTGTATAATATTGCTTTTGTTTCAGTCCAGCAAAACCATGAAATAATCAGAAAAGTACTACTACGATTCGGATTCCTGCAGGAT